GGGGGACCCGGCGCGCCTCGCAAAACTCCTCCTCCTCCTCCCTCCCGGCGGGGGGGCGCCTCCCGCGCGCCGCGGGCCGCGCCGCCGCCCTCCTGCAGAGCGCGAGCTGCAGGACGGCGTGCGAGCGCGACGAGACGCCGTTGGCCATCGTGGCCGCGGTCTGCCGCGCGTCGTGCGACGCGGCGAGCAGGGAGGCGTAGTGGTCGATGTCGTGGCAGTGGCGCTGCGTGAGGCCGACGACGTGGACTCGCTTCTTGGAGTCCTCGCGCACCTGTGAACAGGCTCTCTTCACACCTGCAGCTGTGAATAGGCCCCGCTCGCTCCCTCGAGCCCTCGCGCACCGGGCACAGCTTCCTGGCGTGCCTGCGGGGGCGCGAGGCACGCCGAGTGGGGCGGGAGGACGGCATGCACCCGCCGACGTCGGGGCGGGAGGACGGTCTCTCGTGCAGCCGAGTCTGAGCGCCGCGCGAATACGAGAGAGGGAGGCGAGTCGATGCGAGTACAGGGCATGCAGCCGAATGCGGCCGAATGCGGCCGAGTGCGTGTCCTCTCGAGCGCTGCGGCAAGACAGAATCCGCATCTTTGCTTCTAGGCCTCGAGGTATGGGGGCGTGGAGGGAGATATGGGGAGATATCCCGCTTCTAGGCCTCGAGGTATGGGGGCGTAGAGCGAGATATGGGGAGATATTCCGCTTCTAGGCTCCCGCGCAGCAAGTCAAACACCTGAAGCCAAACAGCCGCTCGTTAAATTCGCCACTCACGTGCGATGCCCGCCAGAGGGGACTCGTCCGCAGTCTCGGGCGGTGGGCCATCTCGGCTGCATCTCTGGTGTGGTGCCCGCCTTGCCGCCGTAGATTTCAAACGCGGAGACCCGCAGCACCAGACCCTCGCCGCCGGCGCCATTCGACGCCTCCATCCGTTCAAAGATGGAGTTGGCGGCGAGGGAGTAGATGCCGTGCTCCTGCGGCGAGCCGAGCATGGTGTGCGTCTTGCCCGCGCCGGTGGCCCCGTAGGCGAAGCAAGTGGCGATGCGCCCGGCGAAGAGGTGGGAGACGAGCGGCGCCACGGAGCCGGCGTACAGCGTGCGGTTGGTGGTGGCCTCGCCAAAGGCACCGTCGAAGCGGAAATTGTGCGTCTCGATGTACGCGGTCAGGTCCACCTTGGTCTTGGGCTCGTGCACGATCACCCACGCCCCCTCGGCGTCCGCCTGCATGTCGAGCACGTCGCGCCGGCCCCGCTCGGCCTCGCGGCCGCTGAGCGGCCTCTTGCGCACGACGACCTGCAGCCGATTTCCCCGGGGCCGGCGCGGCTGCGCAGGGCGCGCGGGCGTCTCCGACATGGGAGTGCAGTGCGCAGCTTCGCTGGCAGCAGCGGCGCGGAGGCGCAGGCAAGCCTTCAAAAACACCACAATAAAAATCGGCTTTTGGCGCGTGTCGAGGTTCTCGAGGTGGATATCCTTTGGCCGCGTTGGGTAGCGAGGATTGGTGTGACGCGATCCACGCAGGCGTGTTTTCTGACGGCCGACCGTCCGTGCACGGAGTTGCCCCTTCTCCGACTGCCCCGGCTAGTTCCCGAGGTCGTCGGGAGTGACGGCGAACCTTCTTTCTTTTCTATGACGCGGGCCCAGTACCTCGATGAGGTGACTTGGACCACCAAGAGCTGGCTGGGGCTGCAGAAGCAGCGCATCTCAGTCGTTCTTCACACGGCAATCGCAGAGCAGATTGTGAATGAGCTTGCCTGTGGCGGGGGTGGGCGGGTGCACGGAGCTAAGTGCCTCGCCACCCTCGCAGGAGTCGCTTAGGCGGCTCCCGTGGTGTACCTGTGTTAGTGCCAGTGCGAGCCAGTCCCGTGCCCAGTCCTGTGCCCAGTGTCGTGCGAGGGAGTTTTGTTGAAAAATTCTTTTCTACCAGGCAGGCTAGCTCGCTCTCAATCCTAGAAGTCGAAGGATTGTGAGCGCCTCGCTAGGATTGTGAGCGCTCCTGCTCGCAATCGGAGGCATGTTGCCAGGATTGTGAGCTAAGCTGCTCGCAACCCTAGCTAGACTTTGCTCGGATTGTGAGCGCGCTGGTAGTAGCCGTAGGCGTCACCAGTCACCTTGTGAGCGGAGCTGCTCTTCGTCCTAGAAGACGTAGGATTGCGAGCGTGGGTGCTCACAATCGCACAGAGATGCTACGATTGCGAGGAGTGCTGCTCACAATCCTTCGACTTCTAGGATTGAGAGCGAGGCTGCTCTCAATCCCAGCCTGGTAGAAAAGAAGGTTCACCGGGAGTGACCCCTTCGCCGCCCGAGACCTAGCGCGGGTGGCAGGGTTGGAGGGGACTCGCTGCGGGGAAGGGGGCTGTGTAAGAAGCCGATCCTTCCAACCTCGCGCAGCCCTCCCCGCTCTCACACGCCGACTATAGACTATTCAACCCACCCGCTAGACACCCATCGGCCGGTTTTGTCACGCCGCGGCCCCTTCTTCATGGGCACGCAGTTGGGCCAGCTGCCGTAAACACGCCACTCCAAGCCTTTGTAGTCGGGCGAGAGCATCCAGTCCGGCGGCTTCCCCGCCGGAAGTTTGGGTACCCAATGCGACACACCACCCCGCTGAGGGCAGCGCGACGCCCTTGTACTCCTTGCGCCGCCCGCACCTCCCCAAATCTCACACCTCAGGCTTCTCCACCACATTGTGTGCTGCCGCCGCCGCCGCCTTCGCCTTTACTTCTTCTTCTGGCAGCCGTCCTCGTAGCACTTGCAGCCGTGGCCGCCACAGTCGCCGTCGCGCGTGCACGCCGAACCGTATTCGTTGCAGTAGTTGTTCTGCACATTTTCCTTGCACCGAAGACTCACACATTTGCAGTTCATTTCATGGTCCTCTGTGTGGCCACAGTCTGAGTCAGTCTCGCATGTCGAGCCTTTTTTCTTGCACCCCGATTCGAACAAGTCGAAGGCTTCCTTGATCTCCTCGATCTCCTCCGGGGGAAGTGCTTCAGTAGCTGCTGGTTTATGCTTATCGAGAGCCATATCGGGGCTGACGCCCGTTCGCGCAGCAGTGAAGCTAGCCGCGTGAGACGTGATGAAGGCAAGGAAGGTTGCGAGCAGCATGATGCTCTGCTTGAGCACGAGCTTGTCACCGGCGGCCGGCACGAGCGCGAGTTTGAGCATGTTGATCGAATGAATTCCTGCAGAGAGTCAAGAAGCGGTTGAAGATTGTGTCCCATGGGGGGAGTGCAGGCCAGCGCTCTCAATCTCAGGTCGATCTCGGCTCGTAGCAGGAAAGGCAAGCGCCTACGGGACCGCGACTGTGTGAAAGAGGGTAACAAACTGGTATTGACGTGTCTGGGGGGTATATGGGGGTATATGGGGGTATATGGGGGTATATGGCAATATGGGGGTTTATGGGGTATACGGGATGATACAATCTCGGGGGGAATATTCCCACGGAAGAGGATCAGTCGCGCAGTCTCGAGCCCGCCATCCACCCACCCACCCACCCACCCAGCCCCCCAGCCGCCCCCCGCCCCCATGCCCTCCAGCCTCGCCTCAGAGAGAAAAAGAAATAAGGGGGACATTCGGGAATGGTCCATAAATGGCATGTGCATGCTGAATGGGAAGACAGAGAGCGAGCCGGAGAGAGGAGAGCCACGCCTACGGGCAGCACGTCGCGGCGTGAGCGTCGAGACGAGGCCGCCGGCACGCTCTCTCGCGTCCTCGGCGCTCGGACTGGAGCCGGGCGGCGATTGGCGAGCAGCGAGAGCGGGTCGCTCTCTTGCTAGAAGAGAGGGAGGGCGGTCGCGCGGGACAAAGGGCGGGGAATGGGCAGCAGCGGACGCGTCTCGCGGCTTCCTCGATGGCAGCGGCTGCACCTGCGAGCGGGAGTAGGCAGGCGGTGCGCCGAGGGGGGTGCAGACGCTCGCGCGACGAGCGACGGCGCATCGCGTGGTGGGGGTGGTGAGGGGGCGGCGGGTTCCGTGAGCAATAGACGTCGCGGGGGTCTAGGCGTGCAGCTCGCGGCGGCATAGTCGGGCGCAATGCGGCGCGGCAAGCGCGAGCGGACGAGTAAAGTGCTTGGCTTGCCTTGTGTGGAGTCAGGCAAAGGGCCGTCGGGGGAATGTGGGGTACAGAATGGACGGGGGAATGTGGTGTGGGGTACAGAATGGGGGGGAGTACAGTTTTGCTCTCTCGAGGTCTCTAAATCAGGGGGCCGGCGCCATGTCTGTGTCTGTGTCTGTGTTCCTGTCGTGTGGTGTCGTGTGCTCGTGTATGTCGTGTGTGTGTGACTCACTCAAATGCAAGAAAGCTGTCAGTTAGTCGTACGTATATTTCTTGTTGGCTTGGATGGTTGGCTTCTAAAAATCTGGTGTACCTGTGTTAGTGCCAGTGCGCGCCAGTCCCGTGCCCAGTGTCGCCCCAACAGCAGAGTTGCGTCCCGGCGGGTGGGAGAGCATGTGTCGTTTGATGTGTCACTGTGTACGTCATGTCAGTCTTGATAACAAGTACGGTCGATCCGTCAAAGCGATACACTCGTCACGATCACGTTGGACGGCTTGCACGGAGCTCTGTGCCGGCACACAAGAAGAGCCGACGGCATCGACAAGGACATCTCATCGTGGAACACGTCGTCGGTTCGCGACATGCACGGCATGTTCCGCGGCGCCTCCTCCTTCGACAAGGACCTCAGCTCGTGGGACGTGTCGGCGGCCCTCAACATGGACTACATGTTCCACGACGCCACCTTCCTCAGCGACTGCAACAAGGCGCTCATGCACGCCAGCTTCGACGCACAGACGATCGTGTGGGACGACCGATTCGTGGGGAATTCGTGGGGCTCGCTTGCGTGCCCTCCCTCGCCGCCGGCCTCGCCGCCGCCTCTGCCGCCGCCTCCCTCCGCCTCGCCGTCGCCGCCGCCGCCGCCTCCGTCGGACCCGCCGTGCTTCCCGAGCTCTGCGACGGTCCAGCGCGCCGACGGCGCTACTTCCCCCCTCTCCTCCCTCTCCGCCGGCGACTCCATCCTCGCTGCGGCGGCCGACGGCACCCTCGCTTTCGATGGCGTGAGAGGCAGCGTTTTCATCTGTTTCACAGTCGCTTACTTCTACTAGGCACCCTCGGCTTCGACGTCGTCTCCTCCTTTTCGCTGGCCGACCCGTCCGCCAAGGCGGCTTTCCTCTCGCTCGCCACCGCGACGGCGACGGTCACGCTCACCCCGACGCACAAGCTGCCCGCCGGCCCGGCAAAGGCGCTCAAGCAGGCGTCCGAGGTTGCCGTCGGAGAGACGATCTGGCTCGCGTCGCCGGCCGCGGACACGCTCGTGCAGGCGCGTCTCTACCCCCAGCACCACACACACACCTGCCTCTCCCGATGCGAGCCCCCCCCCCCCCCCCCCTCCTGCCAGGCGCCCGTCCTCAAGATAACCAAGGTCGTGGCCGACGGGCTGCACAGCCCGCTCACCATGCGCGGCGGCTGGCCGGTCGTCGACGGCGTCGCGACCTCGTACAACAGTCCGGCCGTAGTCGCGCGCAACAAGTACCTCGTCCCGCTCGTCGAGGCGGTCTGCCCCACCCTCGGCCGCCTCGTCGTAGCGGCCGTGAACCCCAAGCCGATGCACTACATCGATGGCGAGGTGAGCCCTCTCCCGCCGTCCCAAGTTGTATCTCACGTGTCCTCACTCCTCCCCACCCCGTCGCCCGCTTTCGCTTCGTTGCTCGACCAGGTGGTCGAGCCATTCTCATCGCTCGAGGTCGCCGCTGCCGTGGCCGTCACGGCCGCCGCCACTCTTGGCGTGCGCAAGATCACGGCGCGCAAGTAATGCGCGAAAACCTGGTTTGTGGACCTCCCGCACCTTACCCTTACAGGCCACCATAAGGGACCCCGTTGTCCGTTTGACATCAGACTTTTTTTGAGTTGGAGGTAATAATTAAAAGGATTGCACTGTCCCAAAGAACTGATTCATTCATTTCACCCTCACATAGTAACAATACCTCAAAGTTGAAAACCTCCAAAATAGGCCGTCAGGACTCTGTCAGGACTCCGTCAGGACTCTGTCAGGACTCTGTCAGGACTCTGTCAGGACTCCGCCAGGACTCCGCCAGGACAACCACTGCCCCCCCGCTGTGAACAGAGCCCTTAGCTAGAGAGTAGGGAGGGGTGTACAGTCGAGTTACTCCCGAGGGCAGGGACGGCCCTCCACTGAGGGAAAGGGCGCAACGGGGACGGTATGCTCACAACCCAGCCACGCAGCTCTTTGCTCGCGTACAGCCAACGAGTTTGCTGGTCCACAGGCAGGCCAGGCCGTGAGCGTGGGCCGGTCGGGCCTGATCCTGCGGTGAGCACTGGAGGGCTATGCGGCTCGCTCCGTCAGCCGACTTGCGCCGTCGAGCGGTCGAGCGCTTCGGGTTGGACCCGCGGGAGGGTCCCTGCGCGGCTGACATGGCCAGCCAAGCCGTGTGCGCTGCCGTGGGCGCTGTCGTGGGTGCTGCCGTGGGTGCTGCCGTGGGCGCTGCTGTGGGCGCTGCCGTGGGCGCTGCCTCGGTCAGCAGTCGGTCAGCAGTCGGTCAGCAGTCGGTCCGCTGCTCGGCGCTGGCCTGCAGGCCGCCGGTGGCAAATCGGGGGGGCGCGGGCCATGGACGTCGTGGCCGAGCTTTGCTGCCTTCTTGCACGTTGCCGGCTGTAACGTTGCCTGCACCATGGCCGCGCCTCTCTTGCTTGTGCGCTTTCATGGTCGAGCCGAGTGGCGCGAGAGCGAGCGTGATTTCTTTTGTCTGTCAGGACTCTAAGTTTCTGTCTGGACTCTCAAGTTTCTGTCAGGACTCTCAAGTTTGCTTGTCAGGACTCTCAAGTTTGCGTCAGGACTGCCCCATCAGGACGATTCCGCAGAGGGCGCGCACGGTCGAAAGGGGGGCTGGGCGTCTATCATTCACTGCTGGGGGGGAGGGGAAGGAGGGTTGCAGTGAAGGAAGGTGGAGGTCTCGTCGGAGGCACTTGTGAGCACTGTGAAGACCGTGCGCCGTCAGGACCCCGCCAGGACTCTGTCAGGACTCTGTCAGGACTCTGTCAGGACTCTGTCAGGACTCTGTCAGGACTGTCAGGACAGGTGCGGGAGGTCCACAAACCAGGTTCGAAGCGGCGCTCCATCTCGGATCGCGCGGCCGACCAAGCAGGGGGGGGGGGGGGGGGCGCTCCGTCGGCACCGCATGCCCGCAAGTGTGAACACGTATTCACGCGATCTCAATGGGGTCGTCCTTGCTTGAGTTTGACGGATGACGCCTGCCAGCCCCGGCGGGAGGCGCGCAGCTGGTGCGGGCGGCTCGGAGTCGCCATGGGGCGCCAAGCCCAAAGTCTGCGTAGCGTACGGTAGCTCGGCGCGTGGGACTGGGAGTGTGGGGTGATCGGTGAACTGGGTGTGGTACTCTCTTAAGGTAAGGTGTTAACGTAGGATAGAGGTAAGGTTAAGCCGTGTGGAGGGTGAGTTGAGGAAATTAATCGCGGAGGACGCGACCCACTTCGCCACAGACGGTCCCGCGCCTTGCCGCTACGGCTTATGACGGCGACACGGCCGCAGCTCGTGTGCATGTCGCGCCGCCATAACGGATTCTGACCAGCGCTCTACGCTCGTCGGGTCAGCAGCGTCCTCCAACCTGCGCCGCGCTCGGCGAACCTCGACAGCGCCTTCGGTGGCATGCAGCTCTTTGCGACTTGGGCGAAAGGGGGCCGCCGCGACCGCGCCCGGGGACGACCCCGAACTACACGCTCTACGCCGCCGCCGCGTCGAGGATCTCGTCCTTGATTGGGCCCGGCAAGGGCAGTCCACCGGAGTAGCCCTTGTACGCGTCGGTCGCCTTGAGCGCGGCATGCACGCCGCAGACCTGCTCACGGCTCGAGGTGTGAACCATAGGGGGTGCTTTCTTCTCAATGACAAGTCTGTGTAGAGCCACTTGAAGAGACGCCGCTCTTGCAGCGTGACGTGAGGGCGAGCGAGCGCGTCGGGGCGCTTCGTATCACATCTCGGCCAACAGATCTCGGCCGGTGAGGTCCGGCGCCCTCGCCTTTGGGTACGGCGCCAGCGCGTCGAGGCCTCTGTCCTTTAGCGGTGTGAACAGCGACCTATTCACAGCTAGAGGTGTGAAGAGACCCTGTTCACAGCCCTCCTTCAGCGGCGCGAACAGCGACCCGTCCCGCCAGTCCATGTGCTGCAGCAAGAAGAAGTCGACGGCGGACGGCTCGGCGCCAAAGTAGAACGGGCCCTGGATCGCTCGCTCGAGGTTGGACAGCTGCGCCTTGAACCGCTCGCCGGTCAGGTACTTCTTGAGGGCGGCGCCGTCCTACCCATCCTCCTCGCACGCGTGACGAGGCGCTGTTCGGCGAGGCGCTTGTGGAGGGCCGCGGTGCGTGTCCTCGTTGTTCTTGCCGACGCCGCCCTCGAAGGCGTCGACGATGTCGGAGCAGTACTGGATCGCCTTGAAGTCGTCGTAGCCGGGCGGCGTGAGCCCGAGCTTCTTACCGAGGTAGAGGCCTGCAGGAGAAGGGGGTGTCTTGAGAGGAGTTGGGACTGGCACCGGCACCGGGGTGCCGTGAGACATGGTGTGTGTGAAGCATTTCGAGACACCAGTGCGTGATGGGGCATTCCCCGCATCTAGAGGCAGCGGCAGGAAGCGACGGACTGGCTGACGAGGTAGTCTCCGTCCTTGACAACGGGTGGCGCGAAAGTGTCGCCGCTCGTCGCACCAAAGGCAGAGCACACCTGCGGCGCGCGAGGCACGGAGTCGCGCAGGTCGCAGAGAACCTCCGCAGTGCACGCAGCGCGGCGATGGAGGGATCACAGCGTCTTGGCAGCGCACCGTTGCCATCTGGGCCTTGTCGGAAATGTACTTGTACGGCGTTTTGGTGTGCTCGAGCATGCGGACCAAGGAGGCGCCGCGGACGAGGAAGGGCCAGTAGTAGATCTCGATGGTCATGGTTGCGTCCGGGGCTGAGTGACACTCCCGACTCTTCGCCGAGCTAGGAAGAAGAAATAGGAGCAAGAGAAACTCGAGAACCAGCCACGCCGAAATTCTTCCAAGCTGGGACAGCCACTCAAGCGCCGGCGATGAGTGCCTCGCATGTCCGCCTATTTCTCGAGGGATTGCCCGAGCCAGCCTCGATCCCGAGAGGCGACGCAGCGCCACCCAGTCCGGCGCCGCGGCCGCGTGCGCCACAGCCCCACCCAGTGACGAGCGGCGATGCAGCGGCGGAGGCTGCGCTGGTGCCGCCGTCATGCGTGTCGGCTCGTCACCCGTGCGACCCTGACGCAGTTGCTGCAGCACGGCAGGCAGAGGTGGCCCGTCTCGCAAGCCTCGTCGCGGGCGCACGACCGCCGCCACACCACGAGCTGCTGCTTCGGTACGAGGAAAGCCGAGTGGCGCGCCGGCAGCAGAGGCACCCTGACGGGCCGCGGCGGCAGCCGCTGCCGCAGGCGGCGGCGCGGCAAGAGACGGCCTCTCCTCTTGGAGCGCCCAACACATTGCAAAGGCTTGCCCCACGCCCTGCCATGCGCCGCCGCCGAGAACCGCCGCCGCCGCCGCCGCCGCCGCCGCCGCCGCCGCCGCCGCCGCATCCGGGTTGTCGCCCGGCTCACGGCCTGCTCGATGCTGCTCGGGGAGGCCGCAGTGCGCCGGAGATCCTCAACGCTGGTTCGACCTCTTCTCCGCCGCCGCCGCCGCCGCCGCCGCCACCCCCGCAGCAGCCGCCGCGGCCTGTCCCGCGCCCTGCTCGCGCGGCGGCGGCGGCGAGGGCGGTGGAGGGGCAGGCGGTGGCGGTGCAGGAGGCGGCGGCGTGGGAGGCGGCGAGGGCGACAGCGACGGCGTCGGAGCTGGCGTGTGCCCTGCGCGAGGCGCGCGCTCGGCTGCGCGAGGCGTTGGGGAAGGCGGCTCCGTCGCAACAGCTGTCTGTCTATCAGCCTCACCCCGCCTCTCTCTCTCGGCGGTAGGCGCTAGGCCCGGCCCTCGAGCAGCTGCACGCGAGCACTGCGCGGATCGAGAGCCTCGAGAGGCAATGCGAGAAGCTGGATCCGCTCTGCGCGAGTGCCGCCAGAGCTGCGGCGGGAGCAGGACCGCCGGGGCCGGGGGGCGCTCCTGGCACTTTCCGTGGGTCGCCTTTCCTCGGCGGCGTCGAGCCCGGCAAGTCGCACCACTCGCGGTGCCAGTCGAGCGGCGGGGCAGCCGCCGCAGAGGCGCGGCGTGCCGTGATGGAGCACGGCCGCACGGCGGTCGGTTCGTGGGATGGCACCGCCTTCAAGTCGGCGACCTAGATCTCGCCCCTCACAGCGCCAGCCGCCTTGGCTAGCACGGTAGACGCTTCGCCAGCACAACGTTGCGCCTCGGGGGCCTTGGCGCGCGAGCGGCTCTGAGAGCCTCGCCAGCCCACCGTAGCGCCATGGGACTAGGTGGGCTGAGAGCCGCGCCGGCCCACCGTAGCGCCATGGGACTAGGTGGGCGCTGCTCTCGGCGCTGCTGCACAAGCACCGCGCCAAGAGGGCCTTCCTCGCACTCGCCGTCCACGCCGCCGCCGCCGCAACCCGCCGCCGGTTGGTGCACGAGGCACTCGTGTCTACCAGTCTCGCAACGATGAGAGCGGTGTGGACCGTCTTCGTCGCCGCGTTCCACACGCCGCACGAGACCGCCGCCGCCGCCGCCGCCGCCGCCGCCGCCGCGCGCCGCCGCTTCCACGCCCGTCTGCTCGCTCGCTGGCGCTCCGTCAGCCGACGCGCGGCTGCCCTCGCCCGCGCCACCGCCGCCGCTCGTCGCATGGTGCAGAGGCGTCGGGCGAGGGCGGCGTTGCGCGCGCTCGCCTCTGCCTCGCTCACACGCCGGCTGCGCGCGTCCCTCTGCCTCGCCGCCGCCTCGGCCGACCGCGCCGCCGTCGCGCGCCGCTCCCTCCTCGCGTGGCGACGTTTGGCGAGGACAAGGTCCGGGGTGCGCCTCGCGCTCGCCGCCGCCGCCGCCGCTACCACCTCCGCCTCCGCCGCCTCCGCCGCCGCCACCTCCGCCGCCGCCACCCCCTCCGCCGCCGCTGCCCCTTCCGCTGCCGCCGCCGCCGCCTCCGCCGCTGCCACCCCCGCCCCCTCCTTCGCCGCCGCACCCGGCGCTGGTATCGCCGCCTCGTCGGCTGGGGAATCGCCCTTTACCGCCTGCTCGGCAGCAGCCTCCACGCGTGCTGCGGCAGCCTGCTCTGCAGCAGCCTCCAGACGTGCCGTGGCTCCTCTGTCTGCCCCCGCGTGCAGCGCCGCAACCTCTCGCACGGCCGCCCCCATCGCCGCCGCCGCCGCCACATCCTGGAGGCACCCGACACCCACGCATCCCTCGCCCCACTCTTGCCCGGCCCGCGCGCTCAACCCATTTGCAGCGCGGCCATCGCGCTTCGGCCCTGCTCTGGCGGGGCGCGTGGAGAGTGCGAGGAGGTCGAGGGGAGCCAGGCAACCAGCGGCGGCGGCGGCGGCGGCGGCGGCGGCGGCGGCGACGGCGGCGGCGGCGGATGTCCGGCGTGAGGCTGGCGGCGATCTCGCTTCGCTGCGCCGGCAGGCGGCGTGCGCCGCCGCTGCGTGCCGCGCCCTCTGCGGCGGCTTCAGCGGTTTGGCGCTCCTGCGGCGCTCCTTTGCCAGCCACGGCGAGGGCGAGGACGAGGGCGGCGCCGAGGCCGCCGAGGCCGCCGAGGGCGGCGCCGAGGCCGCCGAGGCCGCCGCGACCGCCGCCGCCGCGGTCCTGGCACGCGGCGGCCGCGGCGGCGGCCTCGTCTCGCGCCGACGCTCTCTGGTTGCGTGGCACCTCTGGCACGCGGCGGCTGCGTCGCGCCAGCTCTCGGCGCGCCTCCTCGCCTTGCAGCAGCTCCACGAGATGCGCCGCGCGGTGCTCCGGATGAGGTCCGTCTGCCGCGCGGCCACTCTCCGCGCCGGCGTCGCCGAGGGCCGCTACACGGTAGCAGTCCGCAGCCGCTGCTTTTGCCGCTGGGCGCACGCCGCAACCCGGTCCGCGCAGGCGGCTCGCGACGTGTCTCGCCGCATCTCGCTGCTGCGAGGGATGGGCTGGTGGGGCACCGTCGCGCGCGAGCGAGCTCGGGCGCGCGCGTCCCTCGAGGCGCGTCGCCAGCAGCGGCGCCGTTCGCTGCTTGCTCGCTGGCGGAGGACGGCCTCGGCCCGCGCCACGTGCCGCCGCCGCGCAGAGGCCGTCGCAGCCGGCACGGCCGCACGGCAGGCAGCGGCGGCGTGGGAGGCGTGGCGCGCCCGGTACAAGGCCTCGCTCGTCCGCGTCCGCGCCGCACACCTCGCCGCCCGCGCCCACGCCGCCCGCGAGCCCAACGCACTCGCGCGCGCCGCGCTCGCCGCGTGGCGGTGTGCCGCCCCAGCCAGCTGAAGATAGAACCCTTTGTCGTCCCACTAGCCCTCGAGAGGAGGCATGCTATGCTAATGACCCCAGTGGGTAGTGGGGACATCCTCCACCATCACATACTTCCCACATCCACTAGCTACACACTCCACCACACACCTCTCACCCACTAGATGCAGCTGCGTGTCTGCACCTCGGGCTCGGACTCCCCTCCGGAGTGCAACTACCCGCCGCCCTCGCCGCCGCCCTCGCCGCCCTCGCCGCCCTCGCCGCCGCCCTCGCCACCTCCGCCCTCGCTGCCGCCCTCGCTGCCGCCCTCGCTGCCGCCCTCGCCGCCGCCGCCCTCGCCACCTCCGCCCTCGCCGGCCGGCGGTAGTCGCTGTGCTCGTACCGTGCTCGTACCCCTCGTACTCACGCGGTCCTCCGAGCACACGGCGCGAGGCCGTACCCACGTTCACACTCGTGTGTGTCCTCACCGCAGGCACACCCTGCGAGCGGTGCTGCCCTCGAAGCGGCGCGTGGCGGCGCGCTCCCGCGTCTCTGCCGCCCCAGTGCGCGCGTGACAGGAGCGAGAGGGGAGCGGCGCGGCTGCAATAGGCGCACCGACGCGCCGCGTGCTCCCTCCACGGCACTCGCCTCACCTGCCGCTGCTTTCACGCATGGCGCACCTACACCGCTGGCAGGGCGCGCGCGCCGTGGCTGCAATTGCGAGCGCGGCGGCGCCGGCTGACGGCGGCGCTGCATGCGTGGTCTGCGGCGGCGGCGGCGGACCGTGTGGCGTCGGCGCTCCACGCCGCGTGCAATCTGCAGCTCTCGCGCCGAGTGCAGCGCGGTTTTGTGCGGTGGGCGGACGCCGTGGCGCTAGACATGCGGCGCGTGTTGCGCTCCCGGATGGCGAAGCTCGCGGCGGCGAGGCTGGGGCTGCGCCGCTTTGCGCGCGGCGCTGCGGCCGCGGCCGTGTCGCGGGAGCTGGCCGCGGCGGCCGCTGAGTACCGTGTGCGGCGCGAGATGCGGCACGCGTTCCGGCGATGGGGCGTTGCGCACCTTCTCTCGTGGGGGCGGGGGGCGCGATTCGCCCGCTCTTGCTCGTTGCGCCGCGGCTGGGGCCGTTTGCGCGGCGTCGTGCAGGCGGTCGCGGCTCGCTCCTCCCTCCCCACGAGCCGCTCCCCCCACCTCTGCATAAATCCCCTCCCTCTGAACGACCCCTCTCCCTCTGTGCAGAGTCCCCGGCGCGCGGCACAAGAGCTTCGCGTCGTCGCCGACGCCCCGCAGCCGCACCCGCCGCATGCACCTCCATCGGCGTCGCACTCCGTGCCGCCCCCGCGTTTGCCAGCGTCGTCGACGTCGTCACCCTCTCCACTGCCGCCACCACTGGTGTTGGTGCAGTCTTTCCCTCCCAGGGAGGATGGGCACCGTGTCGCCGCTGTTGCCGCCGCAGCTGGAGACTCCCCCAAGCCCTCCTCGAGCGCCGGTCCGAGCCTCTGCCGCCTCTGCGCGGGCCAGCCGTCGGCAGGGGAAGGCCCCCTGGCCGAGAGGGGAGCCCTGCTCCGCCTCAGCCAGCTGCTGAGCCGGCAGCGCGCGCTGGCGGCAGAGGCGCCGCCGGTGCCGGTGGCGGCAGAGGCGCCGCCGGTGCCGGTCGCGGTAGAGGCGCCGCCAGTGGCGGCAGAGGCGGCGGCGGCGCCGCCGCCGCCAGTCATTGCGCGCCGCTTATGGCGCGTGACGGACCCGACCTGCTGCGCCAGCGGGGCGCAGCTTCCTCGGCCAGCCCGCAGGAGGCCGCCGCGCAGAGATTGCCGGGGCGACCTTTGGGCGCCGCGCAACCCGCTGCTCGAGCCGTGGCGTGCGGCTGCGCGCGCATCTTGCGCGGGCGGCGGTGCCGCCGCTTCTGTCACGAGACTCACGGCGGCAAGTCGGTGGGGGCAGCCGCTCTGGCCATACCACAGGCAAGTGCGGCAGCGGTGATTCTGGTTGGTGTGTGAGGTGATGCACGTGGCAGTTGCCAAATAAATAAATGAACTGCCCACGTATTCACTCCGACTCCTCACCTGCCACACACGAAACAGCCAGAGAGAGATGACTTGTGCTGCGAAAGTAAAATTCTTGTTTGTGCTTGCGACGGCTTGCGTATCGAAGAACGAAGAAGGAAGCCGTCGTCTGTGCCTACTTGTATTTTTTCTTTGTTTTATTAGAAGCCGGGATTGAAAATTCTGTTTTGTGGCGGGGACTATCGCTACGCCAGGGAAGACAAGGGCGTCGAAGTGCAGCTGCTGCTGTTCGAATCGTTCGGCGGGTTCGGAAAGGGGGTCCGTGAGATCCTCCGGAGAGCGGCGGACGTGCTACAGAACAAGCTGACGCGGGCCCAGTACCTCGATGAGGTGACCTGGACCACCAAGAGCTGGCTGGGGCTGCAGAAGCAGCGCATCTCAGTCGTTCTTCACACGGCCATCGCAGAGCAGGTCGTGAATGAGCTTGCCTGTGCGGCGGGGGTGGGCGGGTGCACGGAGCTAAGTGCCTCGCCACCCTCGCAGGAGTCGCTTAGGCGGCTCCCGTGGTGTACCTGTGTTAGTGCCAGTGCGCGCCAGTCCCGTGCCCAGTGTTGTGCGAGGGACTTTTGTTGTAAAATTCTGTTTTGCAAACTTGAAGAGCAACTTTTGGCGGCCTCGAGATGACGCGGGCTTTGGCGCTCGTGTGCTCGCTCGCTGCCCTCGCAGCCGGGCAAAATGCCCCCAAGCAGACGAATCCCAAGGGCGGCATGCCGGGGCTCACACCGGCAAAGAAGGCCAATAGCCAGGTCTGCCACGATCCCACACACACACATCCCAGGCACCCGCTGCCGCTGACCCGGAGGAGCGCAACCCACAGTCGCAGCTGGCGTCGTCTGGACAAGACGCTGCCAAATACAGTGCCTATCGACTGAAGCTGCAAGCGGCGTACTGCCCGAGCGCTAGCACTAAGCTAGATGCGAGGTGCCGGCACATCTCTCATTATCCAATCGCACCTCTCCTCAATCGACCACACCTTCAAAATGCCACACAAAGCCACTCCCAGCGCAAGCGCTGAGGGGAGAGAGTCGCAGTCTCTGAGGGGCGCGCTGCTGCTCAGGCACGGAGGATCAGGAGCGCATACCGTGCAGGGCCTACTCGTTTTCGCAAAAGATGAAGGAGGTGGGCGATCGGCTCAAACAGGCAACGAGTGAGGAGGACAAGAAGAGCCTGGCGGCGGAGAAGAAGAAGCTCACCGAGGATCGAGGCAAGATGTATGCGGAAGAGGGGAAGAAGGCGTCCACACGGAGCACGGACGAGAAGAAGACGTTCGCCGCAGCGAACGCGGCGATATACAAGGCCGGATATGCCAAGTATTGTACGGAAGACATTGCCTCGAGTGACGAGCTGTGTACCAACCCGCTGATGAAGAAGGTATACGGGCCGAAGAAGGCAGCACCGGCGTAGGCACTGGGCGCTGCACGGAGGCGCTTGCTATGGCGGCAGCCTGCGTTTTGTGACCGCGGGGGCCCCTGACCGCGGACTGACTGGTGTGGAGCCCCGGTCCCGGTCCCCGTGCGGCCTGCGGGTCCGTAGTTACGCTCTTATACCTGATCAGAGAACTGCAAGAAATGAAGTGATATCTCTTGTGAGCGGCTGTACTGACGTAAGAGCCGTATGGTACCGCAGAGAGAACCAGCTACCACGGTGCACAGAGTCGGAGAGATGCAGTTGCAGATGTGGAGCGTAGATCAGATTGCTCTTGCAGATACGAGATATCTAGGCGGCCCCTAAATTTCTCCTTTCTACACCACAACTCTCATGCAGAACACTGGGGATGGCACGGGACTGGCGCGCACTGGGAGGCACACTCAGCGTGGTGTGAGACTGCGTGGTGTCAACGAAGAATAAACTCTCCTCACGGGTCGGGCCACACGAGGCGTCGAAGCAAGGGGACTAAGACGCGAGAGGATGACTTCTGCGGCGCTCCTCCACGCTACAGTCGCGGCGCGTATGCGTCGCCGAGACGCAATGAAGGCTTGCGCGCCCGGCAAAGAGGCGTCATCAGGGCAAGAGTGGGACCGAGTTGGGGATGAAGTGCGCGGAGACGAGCGATATGACGCCGATCATGGCGAGGCGGCCGTTCTTCAGCTCCGAGACTCGCTTCTCGGCGAGCACCTCGGAAGAGAGCTTGGCGGTGAAGCCGAGCGGGTCCCACAGCAACGGGATCTTGCCCGGCGTGCCCCCGGCCTGTCGGAGGCAGGGAAGCACCCTTGAGCGGGGGGCGTGCGAGTGCGCGCGGATGTGTGTTTGTGGGCTTCTCGAGCGGGGCGGTGCACCATGTAGTGCGGCTTGATTGCCGACTCGCCGAGGATCTCGAGCAGCCCCACGATGCCGAGGATCTGCGCCTTGCCGTTCTCCGGCGTCGCGTCCCACGCGGCGTATCCGTCGCGGCCGAGGGACTCGAAGGTGATGCCCTGCTCCACCGAGATGTAGCCCGGGGAAGAGAGGGCCGCCCGACGAGACCCACGCCCAGCCGGTGACGGCGGCCTTCCCGGCAGACAGAGACGGGTATATTAGTGCAGCGCTCTCTCTCTGGACAAGGAAACGTGTATAGTAGATGCGGTATCCGCTTGCACACGCGCTTGTGTGGAGGTGTGAGCGATGACGCGCCCCGCGCGCCCTAGCGATGAGCGCGTGTTTGAGCGCTCTAGCACGCACACACGCGAGCGTGCCGGCGGACGCGCTCTCACACACACACACACACACACACACACACACACACACACACACACACACACACACACACACACACACACACACACACACACACACACACACACACACACACACACACACACACACACACACACACACACACACACACACACACACACACACACACACACACAGTGGTGCTCTTGGGAAGAGGTTCCTCCTTTCCGCTCCCCCCCCGCAAGGCGCGAGACACACGTCCCTCCCTGCCCTCCCGGGATGAGTGGGTGTTTGTGCGCGCGTGCAATTGAGCTTTAAATCCCGACTATAATTGAGCCAACTATGCAAACCCATTGTGTCTTCTTCTATTTTCACAGGGTGGGCTTCGGGCATGGACCCCAGGCGAAGACAAGGCGGGGAACGTGCGCGCCTCGGGAGGGCCGAACTGAGGCGCCCGTGGGGACCCCGCAATTCCCTTCCCCCCTCGGAGGGCCGGACTGAGGCGTCGAGGGCCCCACTCTTTCCTTCGCATAGCGGCCACTCTTCGGATCGCTGGTCGAGCGACCCGGGGGATGCCCCGCGCGCCTGACCCAGGCGCGAAAACGAATCTGCGAGGCGCGGCCGCTCATGCGGCCCGATGGGGAGGAGCGGGGCGGACTACGGGGATCGGCTTCTTACGCAGCCCTTCCTTGCAGCGAGCCCCCCCCAACCCACCCGCGCTAGGTCTCGGGTTTGACGCATGGGGTCAGCCCCGCGCGACCTACCTCGTGAACTAGCCGGGGCAGTCGGAGAAGGGGCAACTCCGTGCACTGACGGTCGGCCGTCAGAAACCACGCCTGCGTGGATCGCGTCACACCAATCCTCGCTACCCAACGCGGCCAAAGGATATCAACCTCGAGAACCTCGAGAGAGTGCGCGCCTTTCATCGCGTCACGCTAGGATCCCTAGGAGGCGCCTTCCCCGCGCGCTGAGCCCGCATCTCCTGCCAGTGAGCCGTCTCGCGCTCAGCCCACACGACGCCGACGACCGCGACGTCGACGACCGCTCCTGACTCGCCGCGGCGCACCCTCGAAACTGCAGTGCTACCATGCCAACCTTCGCCTCGCTCCCCAATGTCCAGTTCGTCGGCCGGTGGTACGCCGGCCCATCCAACGTGCCGGCCGCTGCGTGGGGTCCCGCCGCGTTCCACGTGCGCTTCTCGTGCCCATCCGCTTGCGCCGCTGAGGTCAGCCTCGACGATGACTCGGGCAGCCTCGTCTACACCTGTGGCGGGACGGCGATGGCCGAGACGCGCTTAACCTCATTCGAGATGCGCTCGCTCAGCGTCAGCGCGAGCGCGGGCACACACTCCCTCTGGTGCGGCCGCAGCTCTGAGGGCTCGTACGGCGAGAGCAGAGTGCAGTCCATCGGCGTTTTCGGAGGCGAGCTGGTTCCGCTCACGCTGCCGAGCAACCCTCTGCGCTTGGAGGTGCTTGGCGACAGCATCACAGCCGGCTACCAGGCCCTCGCGGAATATGGGCAGACCTTCAGCCTCGAGCTCGAGGACGTCTTCTCCTCCTACGAGCGGCGCATGGCTGACGCGTGGGGCACCTGGGACTGGCGCGTCGTGGCCCGCTCGGGCATCCCCGTCTCGCTGGTCGAGGAGGACCCTGCCGGCTCTGGCATCATCAGCGGGCAGTACGACTGCCGTGTCCACTGGTGGACCGGCGGTGCGGGCTCCTGCCCGACCGCGTGGGATCACGCCCAGTGGCAAGCAGACGTCGTCATCATAAATGGCGGAACCAACGACCACGTGTATGGGCCGCCCACCACCGAGCGCTTCACGGCGCGGTACACGGAGCTGCTCCAAGTCGTACGCTCGTCGCAGCCCGACGCGCTCATCTTTGCGGTCGTGCCGCTGATCTGCAGCTGCCAGAGTAGCGCAGGCTGGCTCAAGGGCGCAATCGAGCAGGCCGTGGCGGAGGCTGGCGATGCCAGGGTGAGCGTCGTTCAGACAGGGAGCTTGTCTGCCCCGTGGCTGGACTGCCGAGACGACTACAGCGACTGGACACACCCAAACGTGGCTGGGCACACCAAGTTCGCAGAGCGGCTGCTTGCCTCCGTGACCGAGACGGTGCGGCAGGCTTTCCCGTCCAAGTGCGGCGGCAGCGGCAGCGTATGCACCCCGGCAGGAGCGGGAGCGGCACCGCCTCCACCGGCGCCGGCGCCTCCGCCAGTGCCGGCGCCAACCCCGGTGCTGCCTGTCACCTGGAGGCCTGATAAACTAATCGCAACGCACTACTGGGACTGCTCCGGCCAGGGTTGCGACGCGAGCACGCTCAGCCCGTGGGACGCGACAAAGTACTGGTCCCCGGCGGGCTATGCGCCGCAGGACCCAAACGACCACGGAGGACCTTCAGCGTACGGCGAGAAGCTGTGGGTCACTGGCGCGGCGTCGGATCGGCTGTCGGAGCTGCTCGGGCCGGACGACGGCTGCTGCGGCGCCAGTGGACAAGGCGGTTGCGGGCAGTGCGTCCTGCTGGAGAACCCCGACTCGATCCAGCCGACATGGCGCGTCATCGCGATGAAAAAGAACCGCTGCCCTCCCGCGGCGTGCGGCACGACCGACGCGCACTTTGACATTGCGGCTCCAGGCTTCGACACCTTTCAGTGGAGCCTCTCGAATACCTGCGGGATGCCGACGAGGGAGGACGGGGCGGGAGGGTGGGAGTACCAGCCGGTCAGCAGGGACCCCAACCACGCATCCTTCGCTCTCGGAGAGTGGTACCTCGATTACGACAACACGCGCGAGGCGGGAGACGCAAGGTGCTCGCTCCTGCCAGAGCCGTACCAGCGCGGGTGCCGCCTCTTTAGCGAGTGGGGCTGGACCACGGGCAAGACGTACAGCATCAAGTACATGCCTATCGAGTGCCCACCCGCCTTCACAAGTCACGTGCAGTCCCTCTTTGGGCCAAGCGGTCCAACGGATGTGGAGACTCCGGTCGCGGGGCCATCTCCTACGCTCGCCCCTCCGCCGCCGCCGCCGTCGCCGTCGCCGCCGCCCGCCGGATCCGGCGGAGGGTTCGCGTGCCCCGTCTGCGCGCTCCCCGACTGCGGCTGCGACCTCAAGGGCGAGAGCTGGTGCACCAAGGAAACCCACTGCTACCCGAACGCGCCCTCGGGCGGCGGCTTCGATCCGGCGTGCGAGACGGGCACCACGGGCTCGAGCGGCTACGACTGCGTCAACGAGTGCGAGAGCTGGATGACCAGATGCGATCAAGGCGGACCAGCACCGGCCCTGGAGCCGCCGCCGCCTCCAGCTCCGCCGCCACCGCTTCCGCCGCCACCGCCACCACCGCTGCCAACGCCGCCGCCGTCGCCGCCGCCGCCCTCCTCCCAGATGTGTGGCGTGAGCAGCTGCACGGAGGGGGTGCTCGCCACGACAGCCGTCGGGCCTGACTCCTCGGCCTCTTGCGGCGGGCGCATCCAGTGGGTGATGGACAACATGGGCAAGAGCGAGGCCGACGCGTGCCAGCAGGTCGGCGAGGAGTTCCCGCCGCTGTGCGGGCCGTGCGCGCCGGAGGGCGTTCCCACCTTGCCGCCGCCGTCGCCGGCAGGGACCGGGGGTGCGGTCGTCGCGCTCGAGATTGTCACGTACAACCTCTACTGGTGGAACGTCGGCCAGAACAACCGGTGGGGTGCTCTGTACGCGACGATCGAAGGACAGGCCTTCGACCTGATCGGCTTCCAAGAGTGCGAGGACGTGAGCAGCGTCATCAGCAACGTGCCGCGCATGAGTGGCCGCTTCGACTCGTTCGCGCCGACGGGCATCCCCGGCCCCGGCGACAACCCCGCGCCCGTGGCGTGGGACGGCCAGAGGTTCGATCGGCTGGGCGCCGGCTGGATGCAGGTAGGGTCCGACCAGTACGGCCAGCGCGTCACTGTGTGGGTGCGACTCCTCGACCGCACGACGGGGGCGACCGTCTTCTTTGCAAACACGCACGGCCCGCTCGGGGACTGCTCGACCGCTCTGGGCGACAACTGGATGCGCGCCGTGACCGACAACATCGCGCCGGACGACTTCCTCGTCTACACGGGCGACTTCAACTGCGGTGAAGGCTCCGCCGCAATCAACGTGCTAGACGGCGCGGCGGGCGGCCCTCTCAAGCTGGTAGCGAACGGCGGGATCGACATGATCTTCACCAACGGCGCCGATGCCGCCTCGTGGCGCTCGGTGAATGGCTACCCGTCGGACCACCCTCTCGTGGCGGCCACCTTTGAGACGTCGGCGGCAGCGTCGCCGCCGCCGCCGTCGCCGTCGCCGCCGGCCGCCGGATCCGGCGGAGAGTTCGCGTGCCCCGTCTGCGCGCTCCCCGCCTGCGGCTGCGACCTCAAGGGCGAGAGCTGGTGCACCAAGGAAACCCACTGCTACCCGAACGCGCCCTCGGGCGGCGGCTTCGATCCGGCGTGCGAGACGGGCACCACGGGCTCGAGCGGCTACGACTGCTTCAACGAGTGCGAGAGCTGGATGACCAGATGCGACCAAGGCGGACCGCCATCGGCTCTGGAGCCGCCGCCGCCTCCAGCTCTGCCGCCACCGCTTCCGCCTCCGCCGGCTCCATCTCAACCCCCACCCTCGCCACTACCCCCCAGCCCGCCACCGCTGCCACCGCCACCACCACTACCACCGCCACCACCGCCACCGCTGCCGCCACCGCCAGTACTGTCGCCGTCACCCTCGCCGCCCCCACCCTCGCCGCTACCCTCCAGCCCTCCACCCTCGGGGCTGATAGACTGCAGCGACGTGTGGGATACGCCAGCGCTCGGCCCTGAGGGGGGGGAGTACACTTGCGGCGCTCGGATCGAATGGCTGCAGTCGCAGGGGCTTAGCCTCGAGGACGCCAAGGACTACGTTGCGAACGAGATCCCAACGACTTGCGGGCCTTGCTCGAGCGACAGCCAAGCCCCAGTCTGGAGCGGCGCGTGCCCCGTCTGCGCGCTCCCCGCCTGCGGCTGCGACCTCAAGGGCGAGAGCTGGTGCACGAAGGAAACCCACTGCTACCCGAACGCGCCCTCGGGCGGCGGCTTCGACCCGGCGTGCGAGACGGGCACCACGGGCTCGAGCGGCTACGACTGCTTCAACGAGTGCGAGAGCTGGATGACGCGGTGCAACTGACTGTTTATTTAGTCATCTGCCATCGCTCGTAACAAACACACTGCTCGTCCATGTTGTGAATAGTAAACTATGTTGAGTTGCGGATGTAATGTGCCGAGCTCGCTCAAGTCGCACACACATACTGACTGAATGAAACTGGCAGTAGTCTGCGTCTCTCACACGTCCTCAGTCAGTTGTTCGTTGTAGTTTTGGAGCACTTGGAGCACTTGGAGTGCAGTCATCAGCCTCACTTTCCCGTTCTTTCCGCGGCCGTTGCTCGGCGAGCGTAGGACGCACGACTTGGGCCCTGCGGCGGCCTTCTCTCGAGGTCTCGAGATATACAAAGCGGCCGGGAACAGGGTTCGTGATTTCACATGGAAACAGCGAATCGGTTTCACTTTCACTTTCACTTCACATTTCATGTGAAACGAAATTTCACTTTTTCGAGCGAGTGTGAAGAGTCGTGTGAACGTGATGACGGATGCTCCCACCGAGTTCCGACACTCTGACACTCACTTCGCACAGGTGTTGGCTCCCAAGCAGCAGCCAAGATGAAGGAGGCTGGAGATATTGGTCTCGCTGAGCTGATGTGTACACTAGACCTATATGAATCTCATGGCATGCTGTGGGCGAATACGGTGCTGATGGTGGGATGAACTCTCTCAGCAGTCGAGAGTCGACTCTCGACGCATATCGGGAGGGCGGCCGCGGCGGTGTAGGGGCGGCGGCGAGCTCCCGGTTGCAAATACTCGCCTCACAGTCCAAGATGGCGGCTCGCGCCCCCATCCGCGCACCAGCGTGCCACTCTAGCCCCGCCTGCCGCCCAGATACCGAGGGCGGGGCGCACTCTTCGACTTGGGCTATTATTTGCCACCGGGAGGGCGGCGGCGGCGGTGTAGGGGCGGCGGCGAGCTCCCGGTTGCAAATACTCGCCTCACAGTCCAAGATGGCGGCTCGCGCCCCCATCCGCGCACCAGCGTGCCACTCTAGCCCCGCCTGCCGCCCAGATACCGAGGGCGGGGCGCACTCTTCGACTTGGGCTATTATTTGCCACCGGGAGGGCGGCGGCGGCGGTGTAGGGGCGGCGGCGAGCTCCCGGTTGCAAATACTCGCCTCACAGTCCAAGATGGCGGCTCGCGCCCCCATCCGTGCACCAGCGTGCCTCTCTAGTCCCGCCTGCCGCCCAGATTCCGAGGGCGGGGCGCACTCTTCGACTTGGGCTATTATTTGCCACCGGGAGGGCGGCGGCGGCGGTGTAGGGGCGGCGGCGAGCTCCCGGTTGCAAATACTCGCCTCACAGTCCAAGATATGGCGGCTCGCGCCCCCATCCGTGCACCAGCGTGCCTCTCTAGTCCCGCCTGCCGCCCAGATTCCGAGGGCGGGGCGCACTCTTCGACTTGGGCTATTATTTGCCACCGGGAGGGCGGCGGCGGCGGTGTAGGGGCGGCGGCGAGCTCCCGGTTGCAAATACTCGCCTCACAGTCCAAGATGGCGGCTCGCGCCCCCATCCGTGCACCAGCGTGCCTCTCTAGTCCCGCCTGCCGCCCAGATACCGAGGGCGGGGCGCACTCTTCGACTTGGGCTATTATTTGCCACCGGGAGGGCGGCGGCGGCGAACGTGCGGTACTCGTACGTCCAGCCGGAGCCCAAGCGCATCTATGGCCGCCATCGACGAGGGCATCGGACGCGTGCTGAGCACGCTTGATCAGTATGGCCTCGACGGCGGCAAGACGCTGATCGCCTTCCTCTCCGACAACGGCCCCGACGATCAGCACGGCTGGGAGGCGCACTGGCCCAGCCACATCATGATGGGCGACCCTGGCCCATTCAGCGGCTCAAAGAACCAGTTCTGGGAGGGTGGCAGCCGCATCCCCTTCATCCTCCGCTGGCCGGGCGAGATCGCCGCCGGGAGCATCTACCGCCAGCAGGTCATGTCCTTCGACCTTCTGCCGACCTTCATCGCCGCCGCACACGGTCGGATGCCGGCCGGGACCGACAGCGACGGCGTGGACTTGCTGCCCTACGTGCGCGAGTACAGCGGCGGTAGCCCGCACGATATCCTCTTCTGGAAGGGCGAGAAGCAGGGCGCCGCCCGCATGGGCGACTGGAAGTACCTTCGCGGCTACCCGCCCGGCTCGCACCAGCTCTTCAACCTGAAAACCGACATCAAGGAGTTGCGCGACGTGTCGCACGCGAACGGCGCCATCTTCTCGGAGCTCACGAGCCGCTGGAAGGCGTGGTGCATGACGCTGCCCAGGTCTCATAGCGGTGTCAGCCCAGCTGCCACCCTCTCCACCTCTCATATCCGTAAAGCTTTACGTGCGTGCAGCTTTGTATTGGGTCCGGAGCTATATTGTTTACCCACTACAACAGTATAGCAGAGAAAGGGCACAAGCGGCACTCTCCCTGCACGATCGTGGCTGCCGTGTGCCTCTCACGCCCCCCCTATGGCTCTACTTCGAGCTCTACTGGCCTGGCAAAGCCAGGGCCGGCGCCGCCTCGGAGGGAGGGGAGCGGCCCGTGGCTGCCTCCACCACACCTTCCGCGCTCTGCGGGTCCGGCGGCGAGTAGTCGGACGCTAGATCGGGCGCCGGGCCGAGCGGGTGAGCGGCCACGGGGAGCGTCGCGGCGGCGGTGCGCCGCATCGAAAAGTGCATCTGCAGGCCCGCGGCCGTGGAGACGGCGGCGGCGGCGGCGAGGACGAACGTGCCCGGCCCGGTCGTCGCGCGGATCGAGAGGCACTTGGGCTCGCTGAGCTGGTCCGCAAAGTACTCGCGCAGCAGCGCGTTGATGGGCTCGCAGCGCGGGTCGAGCAGGTACTGGAAGTACTGCCCGAGCTCGAGCGCCGAGTTGAAGAGGACGACGGCGAGCACCTGTCCGAGACGCGCCCGAGCACACACTCTGGCCGAGGCTGAGCCGAGGTCGAGCGTTGAGTGGGAGAGGCCAGCGGCGAGCACCTCGTGCGTCGACCACGCGTACAGCAGCTCGCTCCACCGCGCCAGCTGCCGCCGCCGGCCGCGGGAGAGAGCGGCGAGGGAGCGTGTGGCGAGGAGAGCGAGCCAGCCGAGCGGGCAGCCGAGCGTGGTGAGGAAGAAGACGAGCTGGCTCAGCCGCCTGCGCAGAGGCGCGTGCCGCGTGAGCCCGCCTTCGTGATCTCGGCACATCTCGGCACATCTCGAGCTCATCTCGACCTCATCTCGAGCTCATCTCGAGCTCATCTCGAGCTCCTCTCGAGCTCATCTCGATCTCATCTCGAGCTCATCTCGAGCTCATCTCGAGCTTATCTCGAGCTCATCTCGAGCTCATCTCGGCTCATCTCGAGCTCATCTCGAGCTCCTCTCGAGCTCATCTCGATCTCATCTCGAGCTCATCTCGAGCTCATCTCGAGCTTATCTCGAGCTCATCTCGAGCTCATCTCGGCACATCTCGAGCTCATCTCGAGCTCATCTCGAGCTCATCTCGGCTCATCTCGAGCTCCTCGTGGGCGGGCTCGCGATGGGGTCCGCGTCGTACGCCGCGGCGCCGAGGCCCGCCAGCGAGAAGGAGGCCTCCGCCGAGGCGCGCAGGTCGCCTGTGGGGAAATGTCTCGGACATGTCGTGGGCGCGTCCCGAGCAGACACGGATTGAGGAGTGCGCAAGTCGCCGGCGAGGCCGCCGTACTCGCCGCGCAGGACGGGCAGGAAGAGGCAGCCGAGCAGGCAGCCGCCCGCTGCGGCGAAGAGGGCGAGGGTGCAGAGCAGCCTCGCCGTTGACCGCCAGCCAGGTGGCAGCCGCTCAGGCCTGGAGGAGGAGCGCAGAGCGAGGGAGTGGGAAGGCGGCCGGGTATGCGCCCTCTCTCGAGCGCGCTGGTCGGAAGGCACGACGGG